GTTCCTTAGTCTGAGTTCGGAGACCCTGGCCACCCATATAAACCATACGTCTCCCATCCCGGAGTCCCGGGCAGGAAGTGGTAAAAAACAAAGGTTAGCAGCTCAAAATCTATGTGATTGTCATTTTAACCAAACAACTGGTGAATACTCTTCCAAAACAATATACATCACATGGAGTTTTGGCTGGTAACCTGATTTGTCAAGCAAAGTTTTTTCATGCTTAAGCAAAGTTTGTGCTTAAGCAGCTCTATGAAATTGGCCCATGCATGCCTTTTGCTGTGCTTACTATTTACAGTTTCCATAAGAATACACAAAGCCTTCATCAGTGTAAAATCATGTGCTTAGCAGCACTATGAAACTGGGCCCTGCCCTCCTAAATGTCTGTAATCATTCCTTTGGAGAGGCCCAGGAGGGTTATGGTTTAAGTATGCCCAGTTCCACATCCTTTTTGTTGGGAGGAGGGGGTGTGTAGGGATAAGTTAGCCTGGGCAAATACTCACGAAGTCGTAGGAAGAGACCTGCCACAATACTATCAGATCTTTGAACTGGCGGAACATTCCAGCAAGAGCGACCACTATGATTGAAGCAAGACAGCACTGCATAGGGCAAAAACAGATACACAAAATGACTAAATATATCCAAAAAATGATTGTTTAAGATTGCTATGGTAAGACCAACTCCATGAAAGTGGCAGAATGATTGTTCCATTCCATGAGGTGAAGCCGAGTAGAATGTTCCATTTCATGAGGTGAGTAGAATGAAACAGTCCATCTGCCATTCAATGAAATTATTTGTTCAAGTGTCTAAATATGCTTGGTGTAAAGGGGTGATGTGTTTTCACATTCAGAGCCGTGATTGAAATTTTGTCTCTTGGAGGAGCCGCGACTGTGCCTAGTATGCTCATGTGTAGTCCAACTGTATATTTAGCACACATATCTTTAACTGTCCCGTCATTAACTATATTGAATTACTACATGATGTGATTGACAACCCGGAAGACAGCAGGGTTTACTCAGGAGAAACAAATGTAAAACAAAATTTTGAGATTTTCTTACCACTGGCAAGCTTGAAAACAGAGGACCAATGAGGTACAACACCAGCAGAACAACAATGCTTGAAATCAGGCCAGCAAGCTGCAAGAAGCATCCAAATACATGTAAGTACTCATACATACATGCATAAACATTGTTTCCTACTCGTAGTTTGTACAAAATGGCATTCTGGTAAATAGCCAAGCCTATGGATACTGGAAAATGTTACAGAAATATCAATTTCATCAATACATGCCTTGCAACCACCTAAAAGGAAATGAGAGGTTAAGCTGTTCCAGATGTGCTTGTTTTCTTAACAAATGTGAACATGCAATACTTCTTACAGTTTCTGGTAATGCCCAAACTCTTCGATTACTGGCATAATTACATGTACTTCTTGTGAGTTAAATTTGACAGGGCTTTCAAACCACGATTATGCACGTTTTAAATTCAAGTCCTGTACATAAGCCCTTTCAAAGGCCCTGAATGACCAAATTTTTAGGCGCTCTAGTGGACCTTCACCCTTACCATAATTCAACTTGCTACACATGCTCACTGGGTTTCAACTTTAACATTGCAAATTTAGCAATTTTGCCCTCCCCAAAATGTACAAAACAATAAACGGTCCACTCTGCCTTTAAGGCTAAAATTGGTAAGTCACCGTCAACTTACTTGTGTCTTCCCACCGGACACCTCTTGCACAAGTGACCGTGACAGAGAGGCCCCCACCGGGAAACAGTTGAAGAATGAAACAAAGATTTGAGAAGTTCCAAATGCAAGCAATTCCTGCAGTGATTAGGTAATGGATGTAAAGGCCAATGGGTAAGAAATATGAAATCCAGGAATCAAATCTTGACAGCAATGTCTGTTTTCAAGGTTCCTACTCCATCATTACCCCCCCCCCGTTACTGGGTCTATAAAGTAATTCTTTTTAGGCAATTGCCCAATCTCAGAAAATCTGTTAAGCTTCCCGTCTAAATGCCAAAAAATTCCCTGATAATTTTTAATATACTTGTATATGCAGGTAAAGACCGCTTACTATTAAAAAATACAGTCTGCCCAGGGGCTCTGAGAAATGGGGCCCATCTCAGTTCCTTATGTGGATCCTACAAAATGAGTCTTAAGGCCATGTTTTTTTCCAGCAACATGGTTTCACTTTACAGTCAAAGTGAAGTGGCCATTTTTGTTCTCATGTATCACTTGGTTTGGCACCCTAACGCATATGGATAGAGTGTAGGGTAAAACCTGTGATAGAGGGCTCATACCAATTTATAATGTGCAAGTCTTTTAACGGCCTGCACACCTATGTGTGGCCCCAGCTGGCAACTTGTGACTAGTTCTGTCAGGTTGGCACAATGGTTTCTCCTCATCATTTACCTCTGGGACCTGGGGTTCGATTCAGAGCTCAGTGCACAAATGGAGTTTTTAATCCATACCCGATTCTACCAAAACATTCTTCTAGGGTTTTCCTCCTATCGCTAAAACTGTAACTGCTTCTCATTGTCTCCTCTCTAATAATAGAGAATAGAGCCTTGCAAGCTTCAATGCCTATGGCACTTTTGAGGAATCCTTGGTTTCACTACCAGAAATGTTCCAAACCCTTCTGACCGGACTGGTACCCTCATGTCTCAACAATTGATCTTCAAAAGTTTGTATCCCACAGTCTACAATAGTTCCAGCAGGTGTTTTCGACCAAGGGAGGATGAAAATACCTTACCTGGTTGGGGTCAACCTCATACTTATGCTTCTTGGCAAAGATCTTAGCCATGGAGATGGACACCGCGTAGCCCACGATGGCTATGGCAATGGCATCACCAATGAGACCACCCAGGAAGCTCAGCTGGGGTAGCCTAGGGGGAGGCATACTGCCGAGACAAAGGAGGAAATGGCCATCAGTGCTCAGGATTTATAGAGCAACTTGCCTGAGCGACTGAAAACTAAGACTGACACTTCGTCAGTGGTACCTACGTGTAAACTTTCAGTTTGTTCATGTAAAGCAAAGGATATGTCACTATTTGTGAACAAAGTCTAGAACAGCCAGTCAATTCTGTATGCAAGAAACAGTTCCATTCAGTGCTCCACTTGAAGCACTGGCATATCCACTTTAAGTCACTTGCTGTGTTATCAGCTGCCTCCTTTCTGAAATTTTCAAACAGCCGCCTACACCCACCAAATTTGAACAACATGCAGTCGTGAAGGAAAATACAGGAAACAATCCCCGCAGAACCCAACAGGTATGAATGACTAGAGTGCAAAATGTTGAAAATGGATGAAATAATAGGACATCACAGAGAAAAACCAGGGAAAAACACATGAAATCCTATTAAAATTAGGACAGATATCATCATGGATGAACATGGCACCCTCAAATTTGTCGATCGGAAAAATGTCCAGTGCCTGAAAGGAAAGCCTACCGATGTCGGCCTGAACTTGACGCAGATGACAATGCCAAGTGTTGCGTCTAATGGGCTTCAGCAAAGTCTGGGCTTGGAAACTACATTACTTGACAACAGCTTAAGATGTATTCGCAATGCAGAAGGTGTCCAATGAGAGACCTAACAATCTCAAAGTGGGTGTGGCTTTAATAAGGGAAGCTCATAATTGTTTTCCAGCATCTGGCACACTTTCACTGCAAGTCTTACGAGCACAGCTACTGTCTACATGTATGTATGGTATGGTGCGGGAGCGAGTGTGAGAAACAACATATGTTCTGACCCACTGACCTGTGAATGGAATTCATGTGATCAAAATATAAGTTTGACATTACAGTGGCTGCTCACATGGGACTTTTTTCTGCAACGTACACTGACAATGCAATACATGTATTTCCGCAACCAGGTTGGCCTTGTAAAACTTGCCACTGCAGAAGGTAAAAATAACCACCGACGATCAACACTTGACAATTCTGATGGTTACTAGCTGTCTGCACTGGATTTAATTTTGTCAAATAGACAACCGTCTCTGTACGTTTTGCCAAAAATTCCAATGCGAACAGGGCTTCAAAAGAGCAAGAAATGTGAGCACATTTACCCGGTCGGGATTTCTCCAACTATGTCCATGCCATACCTGTCGGCAAACTGTCCTGTGTAAGAGACAGCCGTCCCTACGATGATCTGAAATGACAAGTCGGTGGGGCGGAAAGCAGCAGGCAAACCATGTAAAAAGCAAATGAACGGCAAGGTGATCTTTCAAGCAAAAGAATCCTAGTAAATCTGGGCTTTGAAAAAAAAACACTCTTCCCTTCACCACAGCAGAAGACCGGTGCTGAGCATGTTGCTGCTGGGAAAATAGAGCTGATGTATATATATGCTGGCAAAAACCAGCAAATGGCAAAAAGACTTTTAACCGAAGCCTTAAAAAATCTTCCATGCATTAAGTGTGGGATTTTAAAGGATTGAGGCTCTGGGACAAATACATGTACATGTATGTCTGGCTGACTTCGACTGATGCACTGTTAGGTGTTGGGCTGGACCTTGTGTTGTGTACACTCAGCCATGCATCAACTTTGGTAAAATAATAGTTGAAATCATCCACGCTGCTCCAGGATATCATTCATTTTGCACGGCCTTACTGAATTGACAGAAATTGCCAGAGGATGTTTGAAGGACTAAGGCAGCGGTCACCCCTTAAAAGAATGCACTCAAGAAATAATGGGCACTTTTCAAGGATTGAGGCTATATCTAAGTTTTACCTGGAAACAGGGTTTTTTTGCAGGACTGACGTTGCATCCCAGCGAAAAAAGCTAAAGGCTCAATATCAAGCTAAACAATGCATCAGCTTAACGTGAAGTATCATGGGAAAAAACAGATTTGTTTTGCTGTCTTTTAAGTCAGCTGGTCTGCAGCTCGCTTGCAGTACCATACCCACATTTTACTTCAGTTTGATTGGAAACCAATGGTCAAGATTGAAAGCTCTCTTCTCTGTTCTTTGTAGAAGCTTCTGAACAATACTTTCTTGCTTCTCATAGGAATTTCATGTCTTTCCAAACATTTTGGATGGCTACATGAATTTTCTCCAGCCAGAGATTAAGGCAAGTCCCAGTTGTGTTGGGGGGCCAGCATGGTAAATCTGGGTATGGGATTGCACATCCAGCATGTACTTGCGACGGGAGTTGACTTTCGAATTGCGAATGGTGACAACTAGGCAAATTCTGTAGGGACAATACTTCAACCAAACTGGCTTCAAGTAAGGTTGAAATACAAGCAGAATGAAAGCCCATCTTACAGAATTGGGAAAAAAAGAAAGAAAAACATACACACACACAGTTACTTTTTTATTCGTTGGCATTCCTTTATTTGGTAAGGAAAACCCAATGTACATTCTTTCAACTGAAATATTTTTTTCAGTTGTGATTTCGTTGACAGTTTCTTGTTATTTTACTACGATAACGCTGAATGGAGAATGGCCGTAAAACTAATTTTTAGATGGGGGAAACCTTATGAGGACCTGGCTAAGTCCACACAACTTGCCTTGCGTGGACCTGTACACACACAGGAAAAATCACCCTTACCACAACGAGCTCCGAAGGGATGGGAATCTTTTTCCTGGGTTGCCGAACCCGCTGCCTCACCCCGTCTACCACCCTGTGCGTGCCCCGGTTTCGGATGAAATCCTGTACTTCGTTGACTGCAACCAGGAATGCAACTGTGATGGCTGATGTAATGATAGCTGCTACGTTGGCCTTGTACAGATTACTGAAGAACGCTATGTAACTCTGGAAAAGTAAACGACAATCTACATGACTGAGGTACATGAAACTACGAACTGTGATAGCTCTGGAAATACTACACAAAAGGCACATAACAGAGGGGTCTGTAGCTCTTGGAATTCCCACAAATAAATTGAGGAAGAATGCTACATAATTTTTGAAAATCCAACTACAAAAAGCATTACTAAAGATTGCTATACATGAACAACACAATTCACAAGAGAACTAAAATCCTGAACAACTGAAGAATTATGCTAATGCAATTGGAGTTAGAATATTAAATTGCGAAAGACAAACATAATTGCCTAAAACTCTTGAAATGACATAATTGTAGAAAACTACATGTATGTTATCGACTTAATTGAAGAAAAGTTTGCTAAGAAATCAGATATGAACTGCCAAATCCAATGACAAGATCAATAAGCACATTTTTCTTCAGTTTTATTACAACAATTTTGGACACCATCTCTGCACTCACCTTAACCAGAGCAAAAAACCCAGTTGATTTCTCGATGCTGACCCCAAACAAGTGCCTGAACTGACTGGTAAAAACATGGACGGCAGCGCCAGTGGTGAACCCTCGAACCAGAGGCTCTGACAGGTAGATGGTGACAAAGCCCAGCCTAAGTATAGCCATAAGGAGCTGTGGGCGGGATAAAGGTCAAAGTTCAGATCAACTGTATGTCAACAAGAAGAAGTGGCATGAATCAGCTGCAAACACACTCATTTAATTCCTGTTTTCTATAGCAAGGAAATAACAGGTTTTTCTTTGAACAGAATGGGATAAATTGACTATGAGAAAATTGGTGAACAGGGCTTGCAAAAATGTACACGACTATGACTTTTTGTTGTGTCAAAAATGAGCTTCCTCCTAAATTAGACCATTCAGAATCACTTTTAACAATGAGAAACAATGCATCATCATGTGTCTCGTGTTGGGGATCAAACCTGAAAAAAAGGATATGGAAGCAAATCAGACTGAAAAACGATTCTCCTCAAGGATCACAATATTACAACAAAATACTTTACGCTAGGAATCAGCTACATGTACATGTAATTCTCTGCAGATTTCCAATAAAACCAGAGAGGGAATGGCATGAATGGACTGGGTTCAATTTGATTAAATTACATGGTGCAACTTGATAAAACATTACAAAGTGCAACTTTGATTTGTTGAAATATTACATTGTGCAACTTTGACTGGAGCAGAACTTGGACCCATGGCCTTGCAAATACTCTGCCATTGTTCTATTAACAGTCTTCCATTTTGCCACGGTCACTATGAAACCAAAGATCGTATAGCACCGCGTAGCGGCGCAAGATGGGGAACTTTACCATGAATACACGTAAAACGTTGTTATCACATGGGCGCCATTCTGGTTGGACTACGACTGCGCAGTGCATGTTAATGCGCAGGCACAGGTGCCGCGACAGACACGCACACACATGAACTTTCACACTCGAATGGCGCCCATGGTGATAACACCTTTATGGCCAAATTACCCATCTTGCGCCGCTATGCGGCGCTATATAATCTTTGTATGAAACTGTCAACACAACCAATGCTGCACACCTGATTAAGAGGTGCTCAATCAAGCTGTTACTTTATGTCGACATACATGTACATGGGTCCTAATACAGGGCCCTGATCTTTCTACAGGTGACATTCTTTTCAATCTACAGTTCTCCTCTCTAATGGAGACATCGTGGAAAACTGGCAGAAACAAACCTGGACAATGCCTACAGCTACTGCAAGGGCAGAGGCCACATAGACCCTTTGTAGGTCGTTGTCTGTGTCCATCCCATCATTGCTTGATGACGTGGTATAAGATGGGTCACTCAAAACTCGATCTACGGCATTACCCGTCATGATGCACAACACAGCAAATGTTCCTGTCAACATGATTAACTTTTCAGGATTACTTTCTAAGACCCTAGATCTATGTAGCCTACCCAACAAATCCATTCCAAATACCTGAAAATATTGACTAATAGTGACATCATCACAATACATCTGCATGCTATTAAATGACATTCTCTCAATGATTTAGGATTTACAGCATCCCAAACATGCAGAATGATTCTCCCAAGGCCACAGTCTGTGTAGCTGAATTCAATTGAAGTAAGGCTATGAATTCAGGCATCCAGATGCCTGACACATCATGCTTGGAACGGCATCTCGATCATGGAACTGAGTAGATGTACAGCACACACAGGCATACATGCGCTTATAACCAACATACATGTACATGTATTACTGTTCCATTTGATAGTGAACTAGAAAGGTTTCCAATGCCACTTGCGGAGAATTTTTCAAAATGAAACCAGCCAATACAAAATAATTGAGAAGTATTTACGTGCTTGTTCACGACACATGCTAATATTTACATTGCCACATGTCATGCATGTACAGTATTGAGCTCATTCTACAATCTTGCATCTCACTACACGTTTTCTGACTCAGGAATGGGGTTGTATTATCAATTTATCATGCAGATCAAAATGAAAATCGGTATCAAATTTTGAGGTTGCTTAAATAGCAAGTGAGTTATCTGTACTTTTTTTAAAACATTCCTCAGTTATCTGTACTTTTTTCAAAACATTAATCAGCCAAAGAATGGAGGAGGGAATCATTATGATTTGCCAGCTGTCCAAGAACTAACCTGCGGATATGTGGCGTGACGTTCCCATGATGGAGTAGATTATTACGGAAAAGAAAGCAACATACAGACCATAGACAGGAGGCAACGATGCTAAGAGAGCATAGGCCATAGCTGAACAAGAAATACATAAAGTCATAAATTAGAAACAAAAAAGCAACAGTGTGCATCGGATGGCTACCATAAATGTCACCCTGGTTATGCACACTCAATAAACTGCGCATCTCCAGGCAATTATCCACACAGTGGCAATAAGGCTACCTTTCTCCCAATGCCTACAAATTGAACACTTCGTCCCACAGTCAATTTGACCTCTCTGGGAAAATTACTCGCAACTCTGTCAAAAAATATCAGATTATGACGCTTGATGTCTTATTTTTAAGAGAAAAAGCATTCCTTTGAAATGATACCTGCATTATCTACAAGTATGTTGGTTACATATTCTACATGTACATGTACGGGAGGCATTCTTTGTAAATAAAGGTATTATATTTGCATTATTTTTATCCACACTGTATTTATAAGACAACAAAAATAATGGGTCAGATCAGTTGATCTGTGCGGATGTTTGATCTTTGTGTGATATCTCGATCTTATTCCACGATTTGTTGATCATTCTACCAACAAACAACCACCTTTTCTTTCTAATTTGCAGTTGCGGAAGATTGTTTCAAAAGAGGGAAAGCACTGTTGGAGTTTTAATGGAATCGACCGATGATGTAGAACAATATGGCGATCGCAACGATTAGCCGATTGTGCCCAATATACATACCCTGGGCAATCCTCATTGTGCCTACGGTCATGCCGGATATAACATCTGCCAGCAAGTCGTGCCGGACGTCATAGACCGGCAACCACTCCAGGATGGGGAACCGACCCACCAAGCACCTCTTTACTCCTTGCAGGGTGCACCGCTGGCGGCTGGCAAATTTGCGCAGCCTGGTGGACAAAGACTGATCCACATCTGTCTGCTCGTACCCTTCCTGAAAAGCTTGCTCAGTGTACACAGGCCGCGAGACCCGCATATTCATTGGTGTGTGTCGCCGTCTTCGAGCCTGGTGGGGCCTATTGACTGCGTGTCTTCCATCAGCAGCCATTGTTTCCACAGTAATCTTTGCTAAATTTTTTTCCCCTGTTATCAGAATAAAAAAGAAGTGCAGGAACTCCAAGTTCTTCATTTGTTAGTCATGTTAGTCTTCCCAAAATACACCATATGTTTAAAAACAAGCAGTAAAGAATTCTATGTTGGACTATCATAAGGCAAGAGTTCCATATCCAGCCACCATGTAAACATACAACGTAGTGGCCACCAAACATAACATTTCCATTTTAGCCTGGAAAAAAACGACCTTGTCTCAGAAAAAGTTGTTTTGGGTTTTTTAAACTGCATGTTGTGCCTCCTGAGATCCTGGAACTTGAGAGGGTGAACTTTTTTCCAAAAGTTGTCAAGATATGACAGGTTACAGTTACTAGTAGTAATAGCAATCAGAAAACAAAAACATGTCCATTAAAGTTCAACTTTTTAGAAGGGAAAAATACCGAGTCATTTAGGCCTACTTAACAGACACTTGACTTAGAACTAGGGCCAAGGCTAGTATGGGTTTATGCCCGGGGTGTCAAGTGACATCTGTATCGAAGTAGCTTAGAGTTCTCAAGCATGCACAACCATGAAAACCTAATTGTACAAGTGAAATTTCAAAGACTGCATTGCACATTGCTAACTCATCCTCTACTCTGGTTGCATTTGTAGAAAATTGTATTGTTACCTACACACATGTACGTGTACATTGACCGAATCAGGTCAACTCGCCTCCTGGCCCGCTTGCCCCTTACTGACTCACCCCTTACTGACTCACTCCCTTGCCAACTCGCTGCCTGACAATCTTGCCCCTTACCATCTCGCCCCTTTGCCAACTTTCCCCCCAGACGAGTCGCCCCCCAGCCGAGTCACCCTTTCGCCAAATTGACCCCTGGCAAACTTGCCTCCTAACCAAGTTGCTCCCTCAGAGGAGAGTCCGCAGGTCATTAACTATATTTCTAATTGTCCTTACAGAAGGCGGGATAATAATTATAAATTAAGAAAATAATGATGGTCGTATATATTACCGCTAATGGGTCATTAGGGAGGCATTCCCATAAGAATGTGCACAAAATCTCTCCAAATTTACTGTCCGATAATTAAATATTCCCCAGTCTGATCTTAACCAAACTTTGTATGTTTCAATTTAGACCCTAATCTATCATCTCTCAAAATTTGGACGGTAAAATTCGGCCTCCTTCTGGTAGTTTGAAAATAGGGAGACACCGAAATGTCTCCCTAAAAGCCAATGTCTCCCTAATGCTAAAAAATTTACCACAAAATGTCTCCCAAATGACCTATTTGTACATATAACTTGGTTGTAATAAAACAAGACAAACACAGCTTAAAGTTGAGAGCAAAGAACATTTTATTTAAAGGAACCAGGAAATGCATTTTTCTTAGAATCACTTTTTGTGTATCTCTGTACTCTTTTTCTATGTATGAAGACTGTTCAACATCTTTTTGAGGTAGGTGAACTGAATGGTGTGCTTTTTCAAACATCAAAGATTCACCAAGCATTTTTGGACAAGAGAGGGTGCTTTTGCTTTGATGTAAATGCAGAAAGACATGGTTCAGGTTGCATGTTTTCATGTTCAAATTGTAAACCCTGAATTTGCTATCTGGGACATTTCTGTGAAAAGAATTTTTGCTGGATTATTGCCAATATGATACACTTACATAGCAATAAATTGCCAAAGAAAATGAAATCTGCCATTGCAGTGGTTAAAAAATCTAGAAATCAACATTGATATTCTGTGCCTTGGATGACATCATAGTTCTGATCATGAATATGCAAATATGCAGTAGCATAAAAACCAAAAAAAACCATCAAACTATGGGTTAAAATTGCAAACCAAAAAATTAAGATAAGGTTAATTGAAACCCAAAGATGCAATTTCAAGGATTTTAGTAAAATTTATCAAACTATTTCTATTTTCTGGTTCCTTTGAATTATACTTAGAGTGAAATTTACAGAAAATCAGTTGCACAGAACAATTTAAATACAAGCAGGGGGGCCTACGCTTAACGTGCTTTACAATCAGTCATTCAATCGAACACAAGTTGATTGAATAATTCTCAATAAATTAGGGTGAATTCTTCAATACCCCCCCTCTGCCATGCCTGCCAGGCCACTTACAATGTAGGCTTATTACTTGGAAATGTAGATGGCCTAATTAACCAGCGGACTCTCCTCTGAGGGGCGAACTAGTCAGGAGGCTATTTTGCAAGGTGGCAACTCGGTCAGGGGGTGAATCAGTGAGGGACGAGTTGGCCAGGGGTTGAGTTGACAATCACACTGACCTCCATTCATAAAATAATGAAAATTAGCCTGACTACATGTACATGGACTATGCAGGTTATTTAATATTAAACAATAGGCCTAGGCCTACATGTACTATTAATTTAAGTTGGTAATTTCTACGATCACAAACGTGCAATTTCACCTCCTTTGATTCCTCGTAAACAGTAAACAGAGTCGTAGGAGTAGACCTAAATCAATGAAAAACTCAAACCACTTACGACTCGACTAGCAACTTCACTGTCGTCAGAGCTGGAGGCCTGGGGGGTGGTGCCGTAACATGTACAGCGAGCGCTGCCATTAAAACGCCCTCTAGAGTTTATTCTGAAGAATGAAAAGCGGCCCCCGACGACACTGCACTAAAAAGACATGGTAACTTGTGTTGGGTTCCCAACTACAGAATAGTTACGGCTGCGGCTAGAAACAACACACTATGCCTATCGCTCCCTGTCTGCCGCAGCCAGTAAGTCAGACGCGGCCTGTGATAAGGCCTATCCCAAAGTTGATGCAAACGCGCTGGTTGAATGAGTTGGAGAGAAAATGGCTGGAATTTGCAAATTTCGTTCCACCATCGACATATCGAAGAAACACTGTCGACATGTATTTCTAAAGAGACTCAAGGTGAAGCTTCGAAAAGTGATTTCCCCCTTTTGTATCTGTGGTGTTCGTTCTAATCGTTCTTCGAAGCTTAGTCAATGCAGTGCGGGGCTGGGGGATTGTACACTACAGTGTATACATGTACATGTAGGCTACTTGGGGACTCCCAGTTTTTTGATACTTTAACATTGCAAAACTGGAAGCTCCCCCCCCATACAAAAGTAATACTCTCTTTATTGCACTGATCCTATTTTTTCGAAATTTCAAATTGTAATTTGTGAGAAAATGTAGCTCTCTTAATCAAACCAGCCATGCAAATTTGAATCCTCCATCTAGGGGGGTCTATAGGCCTAGGCCTATGTGAGTATGTCAAACACACAAGTCCCAGTTTCCCCTCATACTATCACATGCCTTAATTTCCCATAAAACTCAAAACCCTGCCCTTTTTTGACAACATCAACCTTACAGTTATTGAGCATGGCGTCACAGTCATCTACCCCCTGACCAAGGTCAATTAAAAAGAAACAAAATGTACATGTAGCTCTCCCTTCTGTCATATAAACAGGGTCCCCAAATTTACAATTCCCAGTAAATGCATAGGCCTTACTTTTCACAATAGTATAAAGGCATCAAGGAAAGAAAAAAGGGGCAAACATTGCCCTTGTCCCTTTCCACAATACCTTTCCACAGTTGTGCAAAATCAGCCATGGGGTATTAGCGATAATGCTTATTGATCATTTTGATCATGTTGATCTTGTTGATGTACATGTAGGTTTAACCATGATAACATTAGGCCCTAATGCGGGTTGAATGACAGTGCATTTTATGCACAACCCTATGGGTGATTTATGGTGTTCTGTAGACAACATTGTGCGCCGTGTTGTGGCGTCACACTATGGTGTTACGTAGGGCTGAGCCAATTCGAATGGGCCTAATTCACTTTTCGAATATTCGACACTCAATTGAATATCCCAATATTCAGTTGTACCAACGGGCAGATTGTTGATGAACAAACCATATACAAAATCAGTTGCAATAATGCACACCATTGTAATTAGTTATAATCACTTTAATTAACAAGGCCATGACTGAGAAAGAATATCCTGTATTTCCGTCCACTGTCCACATGAAACATCTGCCCCAAAATGTTGTTATTTTGCAAAAAGTTATTATTTCAAAAAAATTGTTTTCCCGTCAGGAATGGTTAAAAATGGCTACAAAGTAAATCGGGAGTTCGTACGTTAATGCTGGTCTGCTTTCAAGGTCGGTTCCCTTTGCATGGAGGGGTACACATACTCACTATCTATATACGGTACATGTACATGTATGTACACCAACTAATGAATAATGAATCCGGGGTGTTCATTCTCATGGCCTATGACATCTAGCTAGGAGTATGAGCATCTGCAGCCACGATTTAGCAAGATTTACATGTAACAGACGAAAAATACTTCTTGCCCTATTGAAAATTTCTATTCCTTTTAAATTTTTTAATGAATAATTTACTTGGTAATTCCAGAAATTAGGAGTCCAAAAGTGTGACATTTTGTGTCCCTGTTACATGTGACTATTCTTATTTGATATGGAAATATCACTGGAATTGATTTCAAATTATTACTATTTTGTTTGGCAGGTAATTTACATTAATTCATCACTCTTGGAAATTAGAAAATGTGTTCTGAACTTACAAAATCACATGCCAGATGTGACAGGGACATAAAAAAAATGGACCCCTAACTTCTGGAATTACCCATTATTCTTTCACTTTTCGGATGAATCTGCTTTAAACAAGCCTCCATATTGCAATTTTTCTCATTTAAAATAAAAGAAAATTCTCCCTTCCTTTTCATTAAGTTTGCATAGAATATTCAAAGTCAGAAAATAATATTTGAATATTTGATGATCAACTGAATATTCAGATATTCAGCGCAGCCCTAGTGTTACATGTACATGTACATACACATCATGGTGTCGCATTGCGCCATCTCCCATCCTGTCAAATCGTGCCGTTGGACCCCATACATGTAGTTCTGAGGGTATCATCGTTTCATCGTATCGCACCATTGCCTGTTTCTTCATCATGGTCATAGCTAATTATAACAAAGTAAAACGTGACATTGTGTTACCCATCACATAGTACCATTATGGCCATAACCGGTCACATCCTGTCGCCGCATCACGTCTCGTTATCACCCGTCCATTGACTGTAGGTAGCACCCTTGATGAGAGAGGTAGCAGGGTGCAGAGGTATGATGCGACACAATGATGCGACTCATATTTGTCATCAATAGGACACTGTAGAGAAGTGTACCTGTAAAACACAAATCTTTTCCATTTTATTACATGCTTCAATTCTAACCATCCTCTTCTGAAATAGCATTTCTAGATTTGGAATAAGAATGCTTAGAAAATTAAAACTACAAAAATCCTTTCCAAGTGATTGCCAAGAATACCAGTTTTTGTCTTGGACTATGATTGTGAATATTAATGAGCTAGTACTGGCCAATCAGAATCACAACTTCAAGCTCATTCACCTGCATTGACCAATCATGGCATTTTTTCAGCCAAATGTGACTGCTGCCTTTTGACAAAAAGACAATTTCGCTTCTGAAGGGCAATTTTTTCTTTTTATACAAAATTTTGAACATTTTTTTGTTACATATATTTTGAAATTTTTTCTTGTATACCACTCATCTGTGACTTGATGAGCAGGTACCCAGTACTTAGAATGCATACTGCTAGAAAAAATTCAGTGGATGATTAACTGGTTCACATCCCATGTACATGTAGGTTTATGCATAAAATGAATGGCTTGTTTGTCATCTAAGCCCCATAATGCATTGTTAACCTCAAAAAGGTTTATTATCAGACAACTCAACCATTGAAACAAATCAGCTGGTGGGATAACGCGACTGTGTACCAAGTTGTTTGTAAGACAAGTTGACTTTGACATGGAGACAACTCTTCTGTGCGGGGCATGTACTTAGCTTGAGTGTTCAACACGCGCGTGTACTCCATTCGTTTGCACTGCACTTTCTGGTTCACAGTGACGTCACACTTCGGTACTCTATGCTACTCCGGGGGCCACACCGTACATGTACATCAATACATAATAATAAGTAGTTGAAATACATTGTAATAAGGATGTTGTCCAACCTGGGCTAGCCTTGATGTCCACATTGCCTGTACAGGTACAAGTATACTCAAAATTTCTAACATCCAGTGTACTTGTATATGTAAATCTAGCCTCGTCCAATTCTGTGTACAAGATACTAGACTGTCCTAATCCTTGTTCACACAGTTAGTTACATGTACATGGAAAAGGCAGAGCAGGTGGCAAACTCCATTATACTCTGTTTTTAGGACACAAACATTTCCTCTCCACGAAAATGAGAAATGTGTCCACTTTTTGGATTCAAGATCCGGGAAATTTTCATTGTGTCCTTCTACACAATCATTGTTAGGGATTTGTCCTCAGGAGTCCACATTACTTTATACGCTAAATGTGTAAAATGTCTGCCTGATTTATTTGAATAGATGCATCTACCCTTGGCATCTTGTGTTATGGAGTCTCATGGAGTCAGATACCTCAGGTAAGATCATTTTGCTCAAGACAGCAGAGTTCTAAGTCCCACCTGTGTCTCTTTTTTGGTTTTGTGAATTCAAAGTGCAATACATGTAGAGCTGCGTTTCATGAAACACACACACACACAAGTGTGTATTTGCCTGCAACTGGGGACCCCCTATTCCTCTTTTGTTTGTACTTTACCTTTTTTTGAAGACCACCCATATGTTTTGTACACAGTTGTCAATCGGGGACCCTCTGTCAATCGGGGACGTTATTGTCCTCTATTGTTCTAGGTCCCCAATTGAATGCAGAATCAAACTCATGTACATGTAAGGTACATCCCATACCGAAATTCAAGACATTTAAATACGATACAGAACCACTTAATAAATTTATTTGAATCTTCACTTGTAAACCTGGCATAGGAGCTACCAATATGAACAGAACTCTAACAGCATAAATTATGATATGCCATCATGGTACTACTGCCCTCCAGAATGATCCTTGAATACATGTGATTGGCTCAACTGTATTGTCTGTTTAATCAAAGGTTCAGTCTGAGGAAAACTGTCATACAGAATAAGATGTGGGTTTTAACAAAAAACAGAACCAACTTTGCCACTGGTATCATAGTTGTCAACAAGGCCCTGTTTTTAATGATTTGTAGTCTCCATGCAGTAAAGATATAAAAAAAGAAAAAATGGAATTCATTTTCAACATTTTACACATTTCTTCGGAACATGGGATGGTTTACTAAACAAGTGCACATGGAGGAGTCACATTTTTAGTATTTTTGGGCGATTCTGTGGCACAGCTCTGGCCCTGATCCCGACTTCCTCCATGAGTCCATCATTCCGACAATGCACTTCCAACGGAGTCTCCCCAGGCTGCCCATACCCAAGCTGGTCGACACCTGCCGCCGCTATCTGGCCTCTCAGAAACCGCTGCTGACGGAGGACCAGTTTGCCCACACCAAGGCCATGGTCGAGTCCTTTCGGCACAATGAAGGGCCCGGTGGGTATTACTCCAGAATTTGAGGACTCTTAATTGTGCATATGAGATTCCTGAAATGGAAAGAGAAGTACAGATATTGGTGTTTTCAAACAGTTAGACACATACCAGTCTAGTTTTTGGTTTCAAATCGAAATCTCTTGGCTTCACTCCTACAGTACATGTAGGTACTAAATATTGGGAAAAACTCTCCTTTACGAAGCGACAAAGTAAACTGGAACTTGGCCAGTTACATGTAAATACTGAGGAGCTTGAGTTTGGCTTGTGAAAAATTTGGAATATTTTCTCCACTGAAGAAAGTGAAAATGGTCTGATTGCATTTCGCTTGAATTTTCTGCTTGATGAGGTCCATGTCCAGACAGGCATCTGCTCTGTGCACCGTGGTGTTCCCAGGGCACTGTGTAATCATGTCGATGCGATCCATATCTCACAGGTTGGCCACTGTTGGAAGAGACTAAACACTCATCAGCATAAGGAGAAGAGGCTTTTCCAACCTGGGCTCAATTTCATGGCTCTGCTTAACTGCAAGCAGAAAAGTCATGCTTACAATAGCAGAAAATATTGCTAACTATAAGCACCATTTTATGGCTGTGATTGGGATGGTTGTGCTTACTGTTGCAGACGCATCTATAGGCATTCCATTGTTTGTCACTATGTTAAGAAAACATTCTCTCCAAGGTAAGCGTACGCTTTGTCGTGACCACTGTTTACGTCTTTGTGAAATACACGGAGCCTCTGTCATGTCTGTTAGCATAAAATCTGCGCTTAGCTGTGCCATGAAATGAGGCCCTGTTCTTGTTATTACAGTTCGGTAATCAATCAAGCAGCTCTGCTATTTAGTTGTAAAAGAGCTGGGTTTCTGGAACCTCATCCAATCACGAGCTTGCCCGTCCCATTTACAATCATTTTTAAACTTGCCATGTGTGTAGAGATGTTTATTATGAATACATTTGTGAAGTTTCAGTGCTGTTGCACAGAGGATTTTCATTTTGTGGTCATTTATAGTTTGTTCTTTGACCTTTGTGCATTGACCATGTTGAGTGCGTGCCACAACCTTGGAAAAACTTCTAGTTTTGACCGATTTGTCTTGGACAAATGGTACATGGATGTCCAATTTTCTTGAAATTGGTGTTGAAACTGCCACAAAGCATCAGTGGAAAATTCCCAAAGGCTTGGAATGATAAAACATATGCATTGCGACAGTAACACAGAAAATGTTAGGGGGGGGGAATACCTAGTTCTTTTAGGGTTCACTGTTGATTCCTATATATACATGTACCTATATGTACAGTACCATGTTATTTCTCACTCTTCTGAATCCTGATTTCAGTGATGTTTTAGCCATTATTTACTCTTAAACCACTTAGTACATAAATTTAGAGTGATTTCTGTGGAATCCTTTCAGATTTGGACATGCTTCTGAGGATAGAGGACAAGCAGAACAAGCATACCAACTACATCTCAGGTAAAGAAAGGGACAGCACACAAGCATGACAAGTTGAACATCGTAGTGTTCCTGTGGTATGCACGTGGTGTGGTATTGCTTGCAGAAATTGCCGAGAAAATTTCAGTTTTGTGTTTTAAGAGAGGAAGTAGCATTTCTTGCGTGCCACTGATGCGCATTTTTAATATATCTTTAATAGCTGTCTCCTTTGAGTGGCTTTGCTAGCAAGTAAACAAGTCTACTGCGAGCCATTTGGCTCATCAGGTCAATGTTTATCTCCAGTTTCCTTGGCAACAAAGGACAGAGACCACATGCTTGTGAATTTTCCCATGGATGGGATATCAGTCCATTGCAGGTTGCTCCGCAGCTAATACCGGTACCCATTTATGCTTCTGGATGGAGGGAGGCAAGCAAGGGTTAAGTAGCTCGCCAAATGCTGCAACTTATAAAATGACACACAGCTGGATTCGAACCACTGACCCTGTGGTCAAGAGTCGCAAACTTTAACCACTAGGCCACCTGCACCCCCTATGTTTTGTAATACCCAGAAAACACCTCCTTGTAAAAGTCTAATACCACAATATGTACATAGTTTACTTTATTAAGCAGACTGCGTAACCCTTGGCACTGTAACTCTCCATGGGGCTTGAAATTTCAATTTGTTCACAAGTAAGTGATGCGTATTAAGAACAACAGCATGACTTCAACTTTTGTGTGAGTGAAATAGGAACATACACATTGATGAAATGCAGAGTTTATCCATGTCTCCTGCAGGGGCCTGGTTTGACATGTACCTGAAGGACAGGCAGTCCATAGTACTCAACTATAACCCATTCATCACTTACAACAATGACCCTAGACCAGAGAATATGGACCAGGTAGGAATATGGACCAGTACACATACTTTATTGATTGGCATTAAGGGTACTAGTGTCATGCCAGAGGGACTATAGCACCAGTATGCTTTCTCAAGAATTTGCCAGATGTTACCCCAAAGCTGTGGAATAATCATTCAGGTCTGGCTACACTTTTGCACTTCATAGAGACTGCAACATTTACATATTGGCCCTGAAAAGTCACAGTTTTTTTTCATTGTACCCCTATTAGCTGACACAGTCTCTCTGCTGGATGTTTCAAGGATTTTTCATCATGCCTCCAATATCACTTGTGCTACTAGTGCCCACAGTTATGGGCACAAAAGCCTAAAGTTCATTGCAGGAGATCACTTGTTTCTGGGACTCCAGATATGGTAGGCTGTAGTGTCAATTTTCCATGGAGGCTCACATGTTGAAGGGAGGCTAGCTGTACGTGTCAAGGTCTTTGGAGTTTGGTTAAGGCAGAGCAGTATTCACCTTCAACACAAATATGATATGTACACCACTATCTTGTCTGTTTTACCCACTGACACTGCAGTAATACACATTCATTGCCTGACCAACATCACAAGACATTGTAGCCACCAATATGTGAAGTGTGTGAAATGCCAAGCTTGTGTTCATTCCTATCCCTGCGACACATTATGAGGAACATGAGAGTTGACACTCTTAGACAGTACCAAAGTGAATATGTCACATGCACAATTGTGTGTCAAAGGCATAAGCGTGAGAACCAGCACGTGAACCAGTGCTCACGTACTCTATTCATTTGCACCACACTTGCTGGTTCAAATGACATGTGGCTTTGGTACTCTATAAAGATACCAAGTTTGCAAATGATGTATTCATGTGCTCTCATTGACTCGATCTCTCTTCATTTGCAGCACAGTTCACCATGATTAAGGTGTATTCAACATGTAGGAATTCAGGTGACAACACCATTTGAATTTGTTCTCAAGCCTAAAACAGCATAGTATGAATCATGGACTCATCAGTGGATTTAGTTTTCCTTGTGTCCGTTTTGTTCCTTCTGACCCTAGTTTTGCATACATGTAACTAAACTGCCCCCGAGGGTTGCTATGTTCATGTAATTCCATTAAGGTCAATCTCCTTTTTTTCAGTTAATACGAGCAACAAATATGGTCATATCTGCTGCCAGGCTAATGAAGACAATGAGAGCTAATGTACTGGAGCCTGAGCTGTTTCATCTCAACCCCAAGAAGACAGACACAGATAGCTTCAAAAGGATGGCTAGGTGAAAGAAATTGGTTGCAGTTTTATCTTGACAGGTTACCATTGGAACCAGAAACCCCCAGATCTTGTATCCTGCTCTGGGTTAAGCAGGACTGAAATTGTCTGGCCTGACCTGGGGTTGGTCTGATAAAGTTGGTTCTGATGCCTGATACCTATCAGTCAGCTGCAAAGCTGCATTAGTTGGACAGAAATTCCAAAGGCTTCATTTGGCCAGGCCTATAATAGTTATGCCAGATGTGGTTGCTTGGTGGAAACTGGCCAAAGTTAACATGTATTGCAGCTGAATTGCATTTTTCAGTTTTCACATTACTTATACTCGTTAAACAGTCGGATGCCAGAATCAATCGCCTCCTACTATGCCATCCTCAACAAGGCCTTCCCTCTGGACATGAGCCAGTACTTCAGACTCTTCAATTCTTCCCGTGTCCCACTGTACGGGAGGGACGACTTTGCCACAGATCCGACAGCCAAACAGGTGCTTGCGATTCGGAACGGCAACTTCTACACCTTTGACATCTTAGATAAGGATGGTAAGAATTGTCTCAGTTTAGCTGTGGCGTAACTCCTCTTGCATCACTCTTTGGTATCCATACATGTGCATGTAAGTTATGCAGAAAGCCTGACAGGTCTGCATCTTTTGCCAAAAAAAGGCTTACTTATAGCTTAAGTGATATATTATATAATTAGATAAATTATGGAAATTAATTTTTCTGCCTTACTTTAGGAAAAAAATTTCTAAAATGGTACTACCTATAGTCATGTGCCAAAGTTTAAGACCACCTGGATCATCTGGTCCTTCCTACCACCCAGTACCATTGCGAATGGTCCAAAATATGTCACACTCTTACAGGGTCAGCTGAAAACTTGTATGGATACAAATGCAAAATATTCATGCACAATGGTGCGCCATGCCAGAGGGCCAAGGTGGTTAAGGACTTCTTGTCAAGGAACAAAGTCAAAGTTCTTTACTGGCCTGGGAATAGTTCTTATCTCAATCCAATCGAAAATCTCTGGAAGGTTGTGAAAGACAAGGTTGCTGACAGACAGCCATCAAATGCCAAGGCATTAGTGGAAGCCATGAAATATTTCTGGGAGAAGGAAATCTCAGTGGGCTACTGTTAGTCTCTCATCTTGCATACAGGAGGTCACCAGAAACAGTGGAGGGCACACTGAATATTAGATTTTTAACATGGAAATGCAGTCAAATAGCAATTCAAGCAAGATACTAATATTACACATTTAAAATAAATGTAAGTTTCAAAGATTTATTTGCTAAAGTTTGATTTTCCTTCAAGTCGAGTCACCGCATTTTGTATCGGTGGTCTTAAACTTTTGCAAGTGACTGTAAAGTTGTCAGCATTTAGTACTCCATCACAATGAGACCATTCTTAATAATTTCACTGGTATCAGCAAATGATTTTGTATGCCTAGGAGTGATTTTTGGCAAGCTGCAAAGCAAATGCAAGCTTATGTTATACCGATTTCTGTCTTCTGTCCGTCTGTCCATCTGGCTGTCCTCAAATGTTTAAGTTTTTCCTTGCAGGTCCATAGGTGTGAAAATGTGCAACTGAGTACTTGTTTACTTCCTCTTGGAATAAGCCATTTGCGAGTTTAATTTGAATAAAATCTGGTACACTGAGTTCTTTGAATTCACATGAACATAACTACTTTGCGGTCGCTTTGCAAAAGCTTGCCCCGAACCACAAGGTATAGCAACAGTGTCTTTAATCTTGGGAATTCAAATTGTAGTATTTCTGTGCAATCAGATAACACAGTGTACCATATTTTATTCAAATTTAACTCGCAAGTGGGAAGGGGGTGGAGTAGGAGATGGATAGGATGATGGAGGGGTGGAGATAGATGGGATTAGGGGTGGAGTCAAAGTAGACATGGTAGATATGGGATGATTGGGGGAGTTAGAATTGTAGAGGATACATGTAGGATGATGGGGGTTGGATACAAAGTGCAAAACTGTACTCACAAATCTCACAAATGCACTGCTTATATAATCGTCTAGGTCTAGTCTGACTATACTGGACCCAAATTCTTTAGGCATTCCTCTCTCCTGTATAGAAATGTAGAGCCTTTTTTCCTGTATCTCCCTTGTTGGTGGTCTTTGTTGATTTACTTTTAAACAATAGGTGCCTTTCAACAGACAGTCTGCGCACAGCACTAACTAGGTTTTTTCTCCTAGAGTATGATGCTATGGTCCATAAAATATCTTGTACATCTGTATTGCAGTCAACCAATCTTGTAAAAATTTGGATGATGCTTGGTTAGTATACACCTGTAATTTAGTAACCATATTTGTATTACTTGGATGTCTCTTAACATAAGCTGTTGTTAGAGGAAAGATATTCAAATTCATAACTAGCAGCGAGCCATGGCAGCTTTGCCATTCTAGGTTATCTCACAAATCATCAAATTTTGATCTGCATTTATGCTGATTTAGAGTTTCAAACTGAATTGTGAGGGGTTCCTATTTCAAGCACAGTAAAAGTAACAGCAAGGCATGTAAAGCCAGTTACGTGAAATTAACTTACATGCTCAGGTGTATTGTCTGAAGTCTGTGAATACGTTTGTATTTCCCTTAGGGAACATCTTACCCCCGTCAGTGATCCATGCCAACATCAGCTACATCCTCCAGGATGGTGCCCCTCCCCCTGAGCACCCGCTTGGTTTCCTGACCAGTGAGAATCGCAACACCTGGGCCAGACTACGCCAGCACATGGCTGGCCTGAGCGCCAGCAATGCTGAATCCCTGCGCCGCATTGACACTGCCATGCTGTGCCTTTGCCTTGATGATGTCTCGCCGGACACTCCAGAGAGCATGACGAGACATATGTTGCATGGCAACGGGAGCAACAGGTACGTCGCATGGGCCATCCCTAATCTGTCAAAGTAAAAAGAGTACGGCGATTCGCAATACAGTGTGCCGCAAAGAGGTTGCTACAGAAAGGTCATTTTTCATTTTATTGATACACACACCGTACCCTGACCCAATCCAGGTTCTTAACCCTCCTATGCTGAAGTCACTCTTTGGGTCATTTGGTGAACACCTCAAAGAAGCACAACTGTGTTGTGTTGTGCACTGCACCAACAGTCCCTCACAGGAATATCAGATTGCACTTTTGTGCTGCCCAACAACTCTGCTTCACTTTTTCATGTGCATCATTGTGCAGTAAACCAAATGCAG